CTTAGCTGGTAACTGGCCTTAAGCTAGCATATTCTGTCAGTGTGACTTCAGTTCAAGTGTCTTAAAGAATCAATTACTTTTCAGATTGATGAGAAGGTAGCAGAGCTTTAGGTTGTTTTGCCCCAAAACCCTTTCATTATTAGCTGTCTGTGAATAAAGAGAGGCCTGAATTACTGACTGTCGTTTCTTGAAAGACAGGAGAGGTCCAACTTCCATGGTCCCTGTGGTCCCTGCACGCTAAGTTGACTTTCTTTATCTGTAGCAGATTTTATTCATAGTATCCAAATGAACTCCTGACACACTAATAACAAAATTTGGGTGAAAGACTTAGTTTGGATTTGGGGGAGAGGCAAAGGGAAGCTGTTCTTGATGTTAGCATGAATTAAAATTATGACCATCATTCAGCTGTAGACCTCTTTAAGAGCCATGACCAGGATTGCTGCTCAGCAGAAGCGTCTCAACAGTATGTCTAACAGTTAGATTTGCTAAGGTGGATGTGACCCTGAGTGCAGCAAGAGGTAAATCATTAGGCAGGTGTCTGAGAATCTGCTAAAGGCACGTACAATGTCGTACATTGCCATACTAGTGTATGGGAATCAAAGACCTGGTGCAGGAACGCATAGACTAATGTCAAGCTGCCTGCAAGGCCTCCATGTGAACGTCAGGCTTGCGGCTATGCTTGCAGAGCAGCGTGGCGAAAACTGTGTAAATATAGCAAGCCATTTTCCAAAGTGGGAGGGATGCAGTCATGATGTGCTGCTTCCTACAGGATGAAGACCTTCAGGGGGACTGTGAATGTTAGAGATCCTTGGCTTTGCTTCAGAGAAGCACCTGGAAGCTTGAATTCATGTAACGTCACTTCTCCAGCTGGGTAGGAAGCTCTTAAAAATAGACTTTCTTAAAAAATGTTTCGTGGTCCCAGATCCCAGGCAATGTTGTCATGCCCAGATGTCCTGCTGCGTTTGGTATTCCTGCTTTTACATGAGTTTACTCCTGGAAATGATGAGATGAGTACAAGTTTAAAAAGGAGGATGAAGCAGAGACAGAAGCCTTGGCAGGAGTTTGATTTCTGAAATCAGGGTGGACGTCAAGGAGCACTTTATCTAACCCGTTCATTCATTTGTAGGGGTTTCAGCTGACCCGAGGTGTTCTGTACTTACTCTATACAGGATTGATGGACTGATGTGATTAGAAAAAAAGTAGTTTATGGCCTTTACTCTCTCAAGTACAAACAAGGAGTAAGATAAAATTTGTGTAAGAATAAGACCCGTATGTTTTTTTAGTTACACCCCAGTCTAAAGATTATATTGTGGGCATGGGAGAGAAATACAAACTAGTAATGCTGCTTAGACATTGAATTGCTTTCCTCAAATTAAAACAAATTGTGCATGTTTGGGAGAACCATAATGCAAAAGCAGAGGTGCAGGATACAATTCAGTTGTGAATTGCCAAGCAGAGATATAATACGGAAAACTCTTATCTGTTGTGAGCGATTCTGTTTGGGTTACTCGTGAACATTGCAGTCAGATTTCTCACAGATACTGCTGAGGAGAACATCATTGGCCTTTCTGTAGCTATTCGAGCTTGCTTCCCTGAAATAATATTACATTTGTGAATGTATCCACCCATGTCTTCTCCATTCATTTCTGAATGGCAAACAAGCCTTCCCGCCTGCGGAAGGTAAACCGCTTGCGTCGTTAGAAATTACTTGTTTCCCATTAGGCTGTCCTGTAGGGACATCCTTTTTTCCTGGTGCCATGTTAGTGCCTTTAAAGTTTTGTTTTGATAGTAACAGAATTTTATTTCAGTTCTTCTTTCGAAATAGGGATAAAGAGGTTTATACAAACACGTACTCAGCAAATACATCAAAATTTCCAATTAATTAATTATCCATTCAGTGCTACAATAATTTGCTTTATCTCTAACCTTTCCCAGTGGATTATTTGTATAGTGACATTTATTAGCCAACTGCCATTTGCATCACTTTTACATTATTGTTCTCATTATTAATTATACTTTCAATAATTCTTTAGTGCTTGGTCTCATCAATAAAGAAAAATGGATGGTGCCAATGAAGTGTTTAGCCTTATCTTAATTCTGTACCCCTAACACCATTGCCAATAGCACAAGAGTAGATACATAATACTTTAACTGGCAGTTCTTTCCTTTTGTACATTCCCTTGTCTCCTTTTCTCTCCTGGATGCCAGTATCCCTGAGTTTGTTCTGTAAAAGCAAAGGATATTTCCCTATTAATGGGTATTTAAATAACCGAATTACGTTGCTATTGTACTTGCTCTTTTCTGTGCCAGAGAATGACTATGAATTAATTAGCATTAGAACACTGGAAATTCCTATGAATTTTACCATTTTATTTGGAACATTCTGTGTGCATTACTGAATGATTTTACACCTCCTAATGCAAAACTGATGATATCTCTACAAACCTCTGGGGGAGTGTGTGAGGTCATTAAAAGTTAGATTTGCAAAGAATTATGTATGGATTTCTCTCTCACATTATTCTTTCCTGTGCTGATAATGCTATTTTTGAGCTCTTGTTCAGAGTGGCTCATTTGTATTGAAGGATTCTCTTATCCTTTATCCTATTCATCTACCTTTCCAAACTTTTCATTTCTTAAGGGAATGAACTGTGTTTTTTCAACACTTAAAACATTCCTACAGGAAAATGAGTACTTGCATTTTCAGCTGTTAGTGTTGTCTCGAGAGACAATGGTCACTGAAAGGCAGCCCAGCATGAAAAGTAAATACACGTGTCAGAAAAGAAAATAACAATTTTACCATGTCTCCTTCCTGTCTTCATTGCTGATAGTTATTCTCTCCATGAAGGATTCCAGAAGTAACGGTGGTGTTTTCGCATCCAGGCATCTGCGTGGGAAGAAAAATGATGGACTTTTATTAAAAATTCTCCCTGGAATCCTAAGTTTGTTCTATATTTCTGCTGATTGTTTATTACTATTTTTATTTTTAAAACAAAGGGGTTTTAAATTCGTGGGTTCATGGGAGCTCACAACGTAATTAGCACCCTGCCAGTGACTGTGGAAGGAGCACTGGCACACACAATCCCTCCTGAAAGCAATGAATCCCTCGGTACTACTTAGCAAAATCCTAGTGTGTTGAGCCAGGTGGATTACTTAAATGGATTTTTTTTTCCTTCAGAGTCAGGTATTATTTCCATAACCTATGTTTTTCTGTTTTAAAATAAACTTTTTTCCCAAAAGTGAATAGCAACATGAATTTAGGCTTAAATGTACCACTCCATATTAACAAAATTTGCATAATATTTATAATATTTAAGTAATATATTCTTGGTGGTTAGGTTCTAAAGCAAGCTGTTGAACGGGGAAGAAAAATACTGTCTATGCATCCAGAACCAAAGGTTGTTGAAATGATTACACAGCTTTTAACAGCAGACAAAAGAAATGTTTTCTTCATTTCAGTTTGATTTACTTCAATAACTAGTTCAAAGTTAAGGAACAGCTTAGAAATAGGGTAAGCTGAAGCATCATTATCTTTAAATGGTCTGTGAATAAATTCTCGGTCTGGGATGCTCAGACTTATGAATTCATTCATTAACTGTGTATAAAATTTGCTTTGGTAATAAACCAGATTTAAGTATAAAATGTTTGCTACATTCTTCCTCTTTATACAACATATTTATTACAATTTTATTTAAATAATAAATACACTTGAAAGGCTGGGTTTTTGCATTTCAGTTGAATTCCCATTTCCATCCGAAGCAGCCTGATAGGAGTCATAAGTAAATAAAAACTAATTTTCTAGTAAAGAAGAATTATCATTCATTTCTAACAGAACGCTATGTAAGTGTTAAGCATTTGAATAATTATGCTGAAATATATAACTTCTTAAATGGGAATGTAGGGTTTTTCTCTGGTAGTGTATGGAAATAACACATTAGTTTAGAAATTAGATTCAGTTCCAAAGCAACTGTTTTTTTAGGTTTGCCTGCCAACAACAATCCAACTCACTTGAGGAAAAAAGAATAATACACATTCAAAATAAGCATAGAAAGATTTTTTGGAAAAGTTGTTTTACAGTTTTTGTATTTTCAGATGAATAGGAATTCTTTTCGCAAAAATAATATTTGAAAATCTCATGAGAAATAACTTTATGTTGAATTCTTTTTTGTGAAAAATATTTGACAGATTTTCCAGAAATGCTATTGTTCGGGGCCTTATAGATAGGTAATTCTGTCATATGTGGGAGATAGAATGGCTATATGAACATTAAGTCAAAACTCCCTCCTTTGAGAGCATCTGTACTCAGAATTTTAATTCAGTAGAAAATTTCAGCATTTCTAGAATTAATTTAATATCCAACTAGAAGAAAATAAGGTTTTGACATTTTCTGCTTATTGAAATTCTGTTTAAAAGTGGTGGAAATATCAAAATGTGCAACATTTTTTCCCTCAGCAAACGTAAGGCAGTTAGTTTAAATTTTGATTTAATGAGTTGCATTAATTTGTTTTTTAAATGTAGATTTATGCTCACATTGTTATGGATTTCGTTTATATATACATGATGCTGGCATTTTAATTAGAAAGACTTGGTTGTGTTATATTAGGCTTCTTTAATGACTTATCAAAATCAGAAAAATTATAATCTTTCTTTAAAACAATAACCACAGTAGAATCCTGTTAAATCACACAGCCGACAGAGACACCTATTCCTGACTTGCTCAAAGTTGTGAATTAATTCAGTTGTTTCAAACTTAAAATTGCTAGAGAGGCGTTTCAGAGCCTAGTTTGATGGCCACGCTTGTTCGTGTGTATCCAGCGTTGTAAGGGCAGTGAAATGCCAGCAGCAGAGGTCCCTTTCTCAATGCTGGCTGAGCTAAAGAAGAAGGAAGAGAATTTATTGTGTCAGTGGTGAAGAAGGCATTCAAAGCAGCAAGGATCTCACCGGTTTCAACCAAGTGCTGATATACTAATTATTCCTTAACTGCATCTCCTGTTTCCTCGTAGGTCTTACTGCTGCAGCATCTCTCGTATCCCTGGCTTGGGCTTTGGCTTCCTACCAAAAGGCCCTCCGTGACTCCCGTGATGACAAGAAACCCATCAGTTATATGGCTGTTATAATCCAGTTTTGCTGGCATTTCTTCACGATTGCAGCAAGGGTCATTACTTTTGCTCTGTTTGCCTCGGTTTTCCAGCTGTACTTTGGGATCTTCATCGTGCTGCACTGGTGCATCATGACCTTCTGGATCGTCCACTGCGAGACAGAGTTTTGCATCACTAAGTGGGAGGAGATAGTTTTCGACATGGTTGTTGGGATAATCTATATCTTCAGCTGGTTCAACGTCAAGGAAGGCAGGACACGCTGTAGGCTTTTCATTTACTATTTTGTCATCCTTTTAGAAAACACCGCCTTGAGCGCTCTCTGGTATCTGTACAAGGCCCCACCGATCTCTGACGCGTTCGCCATACCAGCACTGTGTGTAGTGTTCAGCAGCTTTTTAACAGGCATTGTTTTTATGCTCATGTACTATGCCTTCTTCCACCCCAATGGACCAAGGTTTGGGCAGTCGCCAAGCTGTGCTTGTGAGGACCCTGCCGCTGCCTTTACCCTGCCCCCAGAAGTGGCCACAAACACTCTACGGTCCATCTCCAACAACCGGAGTGTCACGAGCGAGCGGGATCAAAAATTTGCAGAGAGGGATGGGTGTGTGCCTGTGTTTCAGGTGAGACCCACCGCACCGTCCACACCTTCATCCCGGCCACCAAGGATTGAGGAGTCTGTCATTAAAATCGATCTGTTCAGGAACAGGTACCCAGCGTGGGAGAGACACGTGTTGGACAGGAGCCTGAGGAAGGCGATCTTAGCGTTTGAATGTTCCCCTGCTCCTCCACGGCTACAGTATAAAGATGATGCCCTTATCCAGGAGCGCTTGGAGTATGAAACCACATTGTAAACGAAACAAAAACACAGCTTGGAGAAGCTCCGACCTTACAGTCCAAATTAAGGTTGACAGTAGGGCTGTAGGAATAACTAAACGGTGTACTACACGTAGAGCAGCAAGCTGTAGTGTTCTTAGTCTGGCTATCATCATGATTATCATTTGATCCACTGTGTGCAGTCTGTCTACAGGACACTGATACAGCAGCGTCACCTGAAAGCCTCAAAAAAACCCAAACCCGTACCCACACGTACAGACCAGTTACTTCAGCTGGGGAAACTCACCCACGACTCCTTGCTGCTATGAAACTCTGGCTGCACAGTACTTACAATCAAACCCAACAGGAAGGCTCTGACCAGAGCTTTCAACTTTAGCCAATAGTGCATTTTATTTTAGAAATGAATGATTGATACTTGCATAATCAATGGCAAAAACAAACAAACAAAAAACCCTTTTCAAAAGTAACAAAGCTGTAGCACTCAGTGTTGCTGTATGAAAACTGTTTTCTGGGGAAAAATAGGAGCATAGTAGTCTTCAACACTCCCATAAATCAACCATTCAGGTTAGAATAGGTTTGCAAAATAGTTCTTAATTAAAAAGATACATCGTCATGTTTGTAAGGCTGTCAGTGGAAAATAAACTAAATTCTGATTAATTACATCATAAACATTGATACTACCAGAACTGTTTGTTTTCTGTGGAATTTCAGAGTCTTTTTAAATGCATTTTAAGTTCTCTATGTTACTTTCAACAGAAATCCTATGCAGCTCACTTCTGGTTTTCAGGAGAAATAAGGAGCTCTAGCACGTAGTGATGTAAATTAAATGATAATCATGATTCAGTGTTCAATTTGCAAAAAAGAAATAATATATATATATATATATGTAAAAGAACAGGGAAGTATAGTTTTCGTATTCTAAACTTTTTGGAGGACCCCATTCAGATATTTCGGAAGAAACTACAAGGAGATGAACACACTGAAACTTCTCTGTTTCAGGACTGAGAATGCATGATTCAGTGTGTGAATGTATGCAGGGGTAACAAGAGACTGTGACATGCCATACCCTTCTAGTGCCAAACATTGTATAACTGCAAGGTTGATATTGCCTGAGGGACAGATAACGAGTGGCACGAGCCCTACCAGAACAAGAAGCAGGAAAGACCAATCACGTTCTCAAGGCGTAGAGACAGCTCTGATTTTTCCCACCTAAGGTGAAAGCGATGTCTTTTAAAGGCTTTCAGCCACCTCTTAGTAAGTATATTCACCGAAGTATAACATAAGCAAGCTATGTGGACGACCCTCTTCTGCCTGTTCAAGACTTGTGTCCAGATACGTCTAAAAATTACGTTGAATCTCTTGTAACAGAGTGCTTTTGCTGCAAGCTTTTGGGTTTTAAATACCTCCCTAAATCTAGTCAATGGTATCCTCTTTTATGTTAAAAGTATCCCCTGATGGTGCTTTCAGATGCATTAAAGGTGCAAGTCAAAATTTGATAGTATTTTTTTTAAAGCTGGTGCAGAGTGAAAAACTCATGAATTATTTCAATATTTTTGTAAAGTAAAAATATGGTATAAAAAAGTTACTTTTTATAAACCGCAAATCTTTTAATACATTTCATTCTCTTTATAGCTTAGATTTTAAGAATTGGTCCATGAATTTTATCAACTGGCTTCTGCAGGTTGAGATAAACCTGGTTTTCACACATTAGGGATTTGTTTTGCAGTGTAATGCCATATGAAAGCCTACATGGGTACTTTTAGACTACTCTATAAACCGTGAATCCTGCTTCAAATGTAAGTGGCTTGTAAAGACACCAAGCGATTCCATAAGAAACAATTTGCTATAACTCTTTCCATCCATTTTAGGAGAGTGAAGCAGAACTGAAGAGTTACTGTTGTAAACGGCGTTGTCAGGATGGAGAAGACCTGATGATTGGTGTTGTAATCTTCACTGTCAAGTATATCCAGTGGAGTCACTGCTGTATATGCTGCTGGGTAAAATTCAGTCTTTCCTGTTATTAATATTTGTACTACGAAATGGCCGAGGTTACACAGCCTGTGTTTATTTGTATGCGTTCAATCAGCCATTCTTAATGTTGACTTTTTTTATTAGTGAAATATTCGATACCTGTTGTTCTTTGCTGGGGCGAGATCCTCAAAACAAAACATCTGTGGAAGTGCAGGAATCTGCAAGTCAGAGGGAACTTTACACAGATCAGAAAACACCCATGCTTCAGGGGTTTCTTAGGTATTTTCAAATTAAGCACTGGCCAGCTGCCTCTATAGTAATTTTTTAAATAAAATAATTCTTTGATAGTCCAAACATGAAGCTTTGTACAAAGTGATTGCCCTTCCCTCCATGGAGATATAGCTGGTTATTCAGAGAAGAACACTTACACGTTGTCAGAAAACATACCACTCCAAGAACTGCTACAAAAAAAGATTTTGGAAGCAATTTCCTTGTCCTGTCAAATTCAGTAGAGCCTTCACTCCAGAATGGGACGCTAGCTTGCGCAAGGAAATCGCTGGGGTTTTTTACAAACAAGGCAAATGGTACGCTTGGTAATCCAAGACGCAGGGGTTTCTTTTGGAAACGGTTCACTGTGTTTGCTGCTGCTGTAAGAAGTCAGAAATGCCAGCGTGGGTGAGGCAGAGGGGCAGCGTTGCAGCTCTTGTCCTCTTCTGCTGTCCCTCTCAGCCTGGCTTGCTCTTCCTCGGAGCTGTGAGCCCTTTGGTCAGTCAGGGCTTACAGAACTGAAGAAACTGTTGCTTCATACAGAATGGAAAGGGTTACGGTCTGGACCAGTGCTTGCATTGCAAGGTTTCTGAAGAAGGTTTGGGGTGAGTTGATTTGCTCTTGTTTGGTTTTGGAAGGAAGGACCCACCGGTGTTGCTTATCCATGTGGTTTTTAATATCTAGCATTTACTTTCTTTACTTTCCCAGCATTTTTAGGTTTTGTTAATAATGTTTGTAAGCGTGTTTTTCTTAATCAGACTGCTGCAGGGTCTGGGTGCAGCACGCCGTACGGGGCAGTACGTACACACACCGTGTCTTCAGAATTCAGTCCGACTGTTTGAGGAAGGGGGAGAAGTCATCTTACACCGAGTCAAAGTTTGCTCTCCAAAATCTTGCTCTGTTAGGTTTGTAACGTCAGTGATCCTTGCACTGAGAACAGGGCAGCCACTGAAATCGCAACACTCAGACAGTTCAGACAGTTTCTTACTTTGCATTGCTGTGAATAGTCACATTAAAAGCTCTAAGAACTTTTTATAGAAATTGTCAAGATTAAACATAGTCCACACTGAAATTCCGTGATGGCCTTATGGACAGCTAATAATCAATATGCACAATTCTTTATACCACAGACAGTTTTAACATCAGTAAAGTTCAATTAAGACAGCAATAGCAAAAAAGAATTGTAAAAAAAAAAAAAACAGAACAAACTTCTGCTTTTGAAATAATGAAAAAATCAGGTCTTTTAAAGTTCATTCCAGAATACAGGAAAAAAAAAAAAAAGTTCATAATTATATTCTGGTAAAGAAAAGCAGTCACATCTCTGTGTTAGAAGTAAGAATTATCAAAGTATTGTTCTAATGAACCAAATAAATTTGCCAACAGATTTAATGGTAATTTATCTGGTTAAAGACTTGGTCCTAAAATTTTGAGAGTTGTGGACTGACATGTTACAGAAACGACAATTTAACCAGTGTTCAGTACTCTAATTAGATAAAGGAGAGGTGATGCATACCCATGTTCATTCAGAAAACATCTAAGAAATTGTAAGAGAAACCTTTTGTCTTATTTTAAAAGAAAAGTTAGTTGTTCTATAATAGGGTACTTTTTAAAAAAAAATTAATTCTTTGAAAATATGTGCAATAATTTTTTCCTGCAGATTTAATAACGAAAAAACTCATTTCCACTTTTGTTTATGTCGATTTAAATATGCTGCTTGTGCTGGAACAATGTTTCTGTGCTTGGGTTATACGGGCTTGATGGCATCTAAACTATTTTCATAGGCAAATTAACAGATTTTCTATTAATTCATTTCTATATCATTGGAGAAAATTTTACTTCCAAAATTAAGTGCTAGGCCTCGGCTGCTTGATTTTGTCAACTTCAAAGCAGAGGAGGTGAATTAAAATTTTATTGGAGCTGCAATTTTTAGTATGTGGTAAATAGCTGTTAAACCCAAATTCATTTAAAACATACGATAGTCCAGCCAGTACATCAAAAGAGCAATTCACGAGTGGTACTACAGGTACGAGTGCTGCTTTATTTGGAAAGGGACTCCCAATCGCACAATATATTCATTCACTTTTTATTGGCCAACAAATATTCACAACTAACCTGTTGGCTTTTACAGAACCCAAATGAAACGGTTTTGAAGTGTTTGTGATGCGATCATACAACCCCTTAAGAGCCTTAAAACTGGCGCTGTACCGAGTTTTAGCTGGCTCTGCCAGCGATCCAGCTCCCGCAGCCGCTACTGCCCTCTCTCCGCTCCGTCCCTGAAGCCCGGCAGTCCGGAGGGACTGGGATGCTGTGATTTACTCTGCACCCCCTGCACTGCCTGCACAATGCCAAGGAAAAGACTTCAGCAGATCGCTGGGGTCCTACTGCTGCCTCTCTCGCTCCTGTGCAGGGTGGGAAGTAGAGTACATTGCATTTGTGCATCCCTCTGAACAAGCTTCCGTTGAGTCCCTACAAGAGGTGCGTGGTGAAAAGAATCACAACACGTGTCCATGAATTTACAAGCCCAGCACTGTAATTACAAATTCTGTAGTGTAACCATGCAGAATGTGGGAAGAATTGTTGAAATGCACAATAAGCCATTTAATTTTGCTAATTGTAGCTATTAGACTAGCTTGCATGAAGCCCGCGCTCTCAGCAGAAAGCCAAACGGAGTAAGTGGCAAACAGACATTTATACACCAGAGACGTTATGTTATGAAAACCTCCCTTGGTTGTTTATAGACCTGTGTCTTTTCATTACAGCGTTGAATCCATTCCTCTTT